GGGATTTGATCCCTTTATGAATCTTGTGATAGATGAATGTGTGGAGATGGTGACTAGTGGACAACAGAACAATACTGGAACGGTGATAATATGAATAATTTGTATCATCATGTTAGAAGCCTTGGAACGAGTATAAATAATGGCTGTTCAGCGGAGAAACCCATGTCCTCTCTCCATAGAGCCTGTTTTACTATGATGTAAAAATTAAGTCATGTACATTTTCATATTAGACTTTCTGTTAAATAAACTTTTGTAATAGTCAAAAAAAAGGGAGACAGAACATTTATAAAAATCTATTGCACTATACAAAACATGTCTCTGGAAGGATACCCAAGAAACATTAACACTCCTTTCCCTGTGAAAGCATTTCTTCTTATCAAAAGCCGGGATAAAAGCAGTGAAAAACCTAGGCTGAATGCACCTTTTGAATTTGGAACTATATGAATTTTTCACCTATTTAAAAACAAATAAAGACTTTATAAATTAAAAAAAAAGAAAAGAAAAGAAAAAAAGTTCGTAGCAAACATTTACAAGTCGTTGGTGCAGTTTCCTGAGGAAACCTTTGAGCGTCGCTGTCGGTCAAAAGAACGAAGAGCAGATAGCACAGAAGCGCTTGGGAGTCTCTTAGAGGGGAACTTCCTGCACAAACCAACCACACAGAGGAGGCCAATATAGATTTGGAAACAGAAAACAGAAGCAGGAAAAGTAACCTTAGCCCGGATTCTGCCATCTACGGAAGGCTTAGCCGGAATTCTGCTATCCACGTAAGGCTTATTTCTCCTACGGGCAAAGGAGCAAAGGGAGCCGGAGGGAGACAGAGGATGAAGGCGAGTGCAGGGAGGCGCAGGCTGGTGCAGTGGCTGCAGGTACTGTTACCCTTCCTGTTGTCTTTGTTTCCCGGAGCTCTCCCAGACCAGATCCGCTATTCAATTCCAGAGGAGCTGGCCAAAAACTCGGTCATAGGAAATGTCGCCAAGGATCTGGGGCTCAGCGTCCGGGACTTGCCGGCCCGAAAGCTGCGGATTAGCGCAGAGAAAGAATATTTCACAGTAAACCCAGACAGCGGGGACTTACTTGTGGGTGACAGAATAGACCGAGAGCAGATATGTGGGAAGAAGTCTCTGTGCATTCTGGATTTCGACACTGTAGCTGAAAACCCACTAAATATTTTCCACATAGCAGTAATTGTGCAGGATATAAATGATAATACCCCACTATTCAAACAGAGTAAGATTGATTTAAAAATTGTCGAATCCACTAAGCCAGGTACAACATTTCCACTTGACCCAGCCCTGGATTCAGATGTTGGTCCTAATTCACTACAAAGATACCACCTTAATGACAACGAATACTTTGATCTCGCTGAGAAACAGACTCCAGATGGACGTAAATATCCTGAGTTAATTCTAAAACATTCTCTGGACAGAGAAGAGCACATTTTCCATCAACTGGTCCTCACAGCTTTGGATGGTGGAGACCCACCTCAAAGTGGCAGGACCCAAATCTTAATCCAAGTCACAGATGCCAACGATAACCCTCCGGTGTTCAGCCAGGATGTTTACAGGGTCACCCTGAGGGAGGACGTGCCCCCAGGTTTCTTTGTGCTTCAAGTGACTGCCACTGACAAGGATGAAGGCATAAATGCGGAGATCACCTACTCCTTTCATAATGTGGACGAACAAGTGAAACACTTTTTTAACTTAAATGAAAAAACAGGAGAAATCAAGACAAAGGATGATTTGGATTTTGAGATTGCAAATAGTTACACTCTGAGTATCGAAGCAAAAGATCCTGGAGATCTAGCAGCCCACTGCATTATCCAAGTTGAGATTCTTGATGAGAACGATTGTGCACCTGAAGTTATTGTGACTTCAGTATTTACTCCCCTACCAGAAGATTCGCCACCAGGAACAATCATCGCCTTGATAAAAACGAGAGACAGAGACTCTGGAGAAAATGCAGAAGTTTACTGCCAGGTGTTGGGAAATGCCAAGTTTATTTTGAAATCTTCCTCAAAGAACTACTACAAACTAGTGACAGATGGCGCCCTGGACCGGGAGGAGACCCCGGAATACAATCTCACCATCACAGCTACCGACGGCGGCAAGCCGCCCCTCTCCTCCAGCATAATTGTCATCCTGCACATCTCCGACATCAACGATAATGCACCTGTTTTCCAGCAGAATTCCTACATGGTTCACGTGGCAGAGAACAATCCTCCTGGCGCCTCCGTCGCTCAGATCAGTGCCTCTGACCCTGACTTGGGCCCCAATGGCCAAGTTTCCTACTCTATTGTAGCGAGCGACCTGGAGCCACAGGAGCTTTTATCCTACGTGTCAGTGAGCGCGCAGAGCGGGGTGGTGTTCGCGCAGCGTGCCTTCGACCACGAGCAGCTGCGCGCCTTCGAGCTCACGCTGCAGGCCCGCGACCACGGCTCGCCTGCGCTCAGCGCCAACGTGAGCCTGCGCGTGTTAGTGGGCGACCTCAACGACAATGCGCCGCGGGTGCTGTACCCCGCGCTAGGACCTGATGGCTCCGCACTCTTCGATATGGTGCCGCGCGCCGCAGAGCCCGGCTACCTAGTGACCAAGGTAGTGGCGGTGGACGCAGACTCAGGACACAACGCTTGGCTGTCCTACCACGTGCTGCAGGCCAGCGAGCCCGGGCTCTTCAGCCTGGGGCTGCGCACCGGTGAGGTGCGCACAGCGCGTGCCTTGGGCGACAGGGACGCGGCCCGCCAGCGCCTGCTGGTCGCCGTGCGTGATGGAGGACAGCCGCCACTCTCCGCCACCGCCACGCTGCACCTAATCTTCGCGGATAGCCTGCAGGAGGTATTGCCAGACCTCAGGGACCGCCCGGAGCCCTCTGACCCTCAGGCGGAACTGCAGTTTTACCTGGTGGTGGCCTTGGCCTTGATCTCAGTGCTCTTTCTCCTCGCGGTGATTCTGGCTGTCGCCCTGCGCCTGCGACGCTCTTCCAGGGCAGAGGATTGGGGCTGCTTTCAGGCCTGGTCTCAGCTCCAAGCCTGGACCTGGGGTTCTCCCCAATTACAATGAGGGAACATTGCCCTATTCCTACAATCTGTGTGTTGCTTCACAAACAGCCAAGACAGAGTTTAATTTTCTCAACGTGACCCCAGAAGTGGCTTCCGCACAAGATCTCCTCTGTGACAATCCCTCTTGGGAACCAAAAGCAAATCCTGGAGACGCTGGGGTCCCCTTTCCCTCAGATACTAGTTTAAAGGTGAGCTCTAATTCATTTATTTTCACTTCTGGCTTTATTGCTTCTTAGCAAATCACCTAACTTGGGTAGGAAGTTCTATTGCGTATTTGTGAGTCGGATTTGGTCAATGTTGCGCCTTAATTATCTTAATCTTATCTAACTGAACTTTAAGGATTTTCTGTCTGAAGTGTGAGATTTATTTACCCATAATTGCAAACCTTTACTGCATGAGATTCTGCACTGTACTTCATTTTTTTCCCTCATCTTTACACTACTTCTCTCTGAAAGTTTGTTACTATTGGGATTTTAAGCAATTTCTTTCACTTTCAGGCTGTTTGTTATTCAAATTTTAGTTTTACTTCCTCTTAGAACCATAGTACTTCAGAGTCAAGAGAGTCCTCATTTTACTAGTTCTTGGAAATTGGGAACCAAAGAGGAAAGACTTTTATATGATGGCATGGCTTGTTAAACACAGGGCATGGGTAGGACATTGTCCGATTGACTTGAAGACCAAGATTCGATAAGCTAAATGTCTTGGAATCACAAATCTATTTTTAAAGGATAGGCAATGTTTGAGGTCTGAGGTGTCTGTTACAAAGAGTGCATTTAACAAATGTGAGAACTCATTCTCTAACATGGATATTAACAAATTGCTCTGGAGAAAAATTGCACATTGAGAAAAATCTTACAACCTATGCTCACATCATTTTCTACCAAATATAACTTAAAACTTTGCTTTTGAATTTCCTAATTATATAGAATTTTTTATTTTCTTAGTTTTCTATACAAGTGTCATTAAATTAAATGACTTTCTGAAATGTTCATTTTTTTTCAATCATGAGGTTTTTCTATTTCTGTTGCTGTATAAAGATTATAGTATTAAATATCTGTCTCAACATAGAAAGGCCACTCAGTGCTGCTCGATGATAAGTATCTGGTCATGCTTTCCTGCATGGATGTTGAAATAAAGCCCCATTCTCCACAGTTGCTATACTGATTGTCACTGAAACTACAAATATTTGAACGTGGTAATAGAAAAACATAAAAATGCATAGTTAACCCAACTCAAACGCTGTCTGAGATGGTGCAGAAACTTTCTGAGGTCCTCACAAGTAACAAAGATCTTTTTTTTTCTGCATATGACAGCTAATATAACTTACATAAATCAGTAGGCCTTTTTGGAAAGGTGCATTAAGAACTGGATTTGTTTCCTTGGCAGTCTTAAGCATGTTTTTATAAATGTATCCTAATAAAAAGATGAAATCTTGAATCCTACAAAGGTAAGAATTTGAACATCCTAATTTAATGGACTAAATATAGGTAAGAGGTAAATAAAGGACATAGGCTCAACGGTGAATTAAATAAAACTTTTGTAAGGTATTGGAATCTAATAATCATATTGATCTCAGGGATTGTGGAATTGTTGCTGTTTCAGAATTAAAGCATAACTGTCATAAACAATGCTACACAGTTAATCATGAAGGATACAGCAACATTGTTAGAAATAAAAATATAGCTAAGGAGAAATAAAAAAGGAATTTGGTGTAGTAACTTGTTAGGACTCTGAGCGTCGCTGTTGACCAAAGTGGGAAAGAAGCTGCAGCGGTGACCCGACTCTGCTCCCTCCATACTAAACACGCACAGACCAGACAATCTCCTACGAAAAGCCAACCCTCCACTCCAATTTTCGTCAGGGAATATGTACCCATCAGCTTTAGATAAATAAGGAAGGAGCGGGCTGAAACAGGACTAGGAGAAAATTGGGCCGAGAGAAGACAATGAGGAGTCCACCGAGGTGCTGGGGCTGCGGAGAGCTGGGGCTGCTTTTCACGCTCCTGGGGACGCTATGTGAGCCAGGATCCGGGCAGATCCGCTACTCAGTGCTAGAGGAGCTGGACAAAGGCTCCTTCGTCGGCAACATCGCCAAGGACCTTGGGCTGGAGCCCTGGGAGCTGGAAGACCGCGGAGTCCGCATCGTCTCCAGAGGTAGGACGCAGCTTTTCGCCCTGAACCCGCGCAGTGGCAGCTTGGTCACCGCGAGCAGGATAGACCGGGAGGAGCTCTGCGCTCAGAGCCCGCTGTGTGTGGTGAACTTTAACATCTTGGTTGAGAACAAAATGAAAATTTATGGAGTAGAAGTCGAAATAATCGATATTAATGATAACTTTCCCCGTTTCCGGGATGAAGAGTTACAAGTAAAAGTTAATGAAAATGCGGCTGCAGGAACCAGTTTAGTGCTTCCCTTCGCGCGCGATGCGGATGTGGGTGTGAACTCCCTCCGGAGTTACCAGCTCAACTCCAATCTGCACTTCTCTCTGGATGTGGTAAGCGGAACTGATGGGCAAAAGTATCCGGAGCTGGTGTTGGAACAGCCCTTAGACCGCGAGAAAGAGAGTGTTCACGACCTCTTACTCACAGCTTTAGATGGCGGAGACCCGGTACTCTCCGGCACCGTGCACATCCGTGTTATGGTCCTCGACGCAAACGACAATGCTCCCCTGTTCACTCGATCCGAGTACAGCGTGACTGTTCCAGAGAACATACCTGTGGGCACTCGGCTGCTCACGCTAACCGCCACGGATCCAGATGAGGGAATAAACGGGAAACTGACCTACTCTTTTCGCAATGAAGAAGACAAAATCTCAGAGACATTCCAACTTGATTCCAACCTTGGGGAAATCTCAACTATACAATCACTGGACTATGAAGAATCCAGATTCTACTTCATGGAAGTGGTAGCTCAGGATGGAGGCGCTCTTCTTGCCAGCGCTAAGGTGCTGGTCACAGTACAGGATGTGAATGACAATGCCCCCGAAGTAATCCTCACCTCTCTCACCGGTTCCCTCTCTGAAGACTGTCTTCCCGGAACTGTAATCGCGCTGTTTAGCGTACATGATGATGATTCTGGAGAAAATGGTGAGATTGCATGTTCTATTCCTAGGAACCTGCCTTTTAAATTGGAAAAGTCAGTTGACAATTATTATCACCTATTAACAACTAGACACCTGGACAGAGAAGAGACTTCAGATTATAATATCACTTTAACTGTCATTGACCATGGAACCCCACCCCTCTCTACAGTAAACCACATCCTCTTGAAAGTGGCAGATGTCAATGACAATCCACCCAACTTCCTTCAAGCCTCCTACTCCACCTCCCTCCCAGAAAACAACCCCAGAGGTGTCTCTATCTTCTCTGTGATGGCTCATGACCCCGACAGTGGTGACAACGCTCGAATCACCTACTCCCTGGCGGAAGATACATTTCAGGGGGTACCCTTGTCCTCCTATGTCTCCATAAACTCTGACACCGGTGTCCTCTATGCACTGAGATCCTTTGACTATGAGCAGTTGAGAGAGCTACAGCTGTGGGTGACAGCCAGAGACAACGGGAACCCTCCACTTAGCAGCAACGTGTCGCTGAACCTGTTCGTGCTGGACCAGAACGACAACACGCCCGAGATCCTGTACCCCACCCTCCCCACAGACGGTTCCACCGGCGTGGAGCTGGCACCCCGCTCTGCAGAACCTGGCTACCTGGTAACCAAGGTGGTGGCGGTGGACAAAGATTCAGGCCAGAACGCCTGGCTGTCCTACCGCCTACTTAAGGCCAGTGAGCCTGGACTCTTCACGGTCGGGCTGCACACAGGTGAGGTGCGCACAGGCACGGGCCCTGCTGGATAGAGACTCGCTCAAGCAGAGCCTCGTGATGGCCGTCGAAGACCATGGCCAGCCCCCTCTTTCCGCCACTGTCACGCTCACCATGGCTGTGGCCGACAGGATCCCTGACATCCTGGGTGACTTAGGCAGCATTAAGACCCCCACTGATCCTGAGGATTTGGACCTCACATTCTATCTTGTGGTGGCAGTGGCTGCAGTCTCCTGTGTCTTCCTAGCCTTTGTCATCGTGCTGCTGGTGCTCAGGCTGAGACACTGGCACAATTCACGCCTGCTTCAGGCTGAAGGCAGCACGTTGGCAGGTGTGCCCGCCTCACACTTTGTGGGCATGGACGGGGTTCAGGCTTTCCTGCAGACCTATTCCCATGAGGTCTCCCTCACCGCAGACTCGAGGAAGAGTCACCTGATCTTCCCCCAACCCAACTATGCAGACACACTCCTTAGTGAAGAGAGTTGTGGGAAAAGCGAGCCTCTTCTGATATCGGATAAGGTAGATGCAAACAAAGAAGAACGACGAGTTCAGGTTAGTTTTCTCTTTCAATGAGCATGACTGGAACATTTTCATTTGCTTCCTCTTTCATTTTTCTGTCGTATTCAAAATCAGCTAGCTACATAAATAGTGAAACATTATTTGCTGTATTGGAGATTATTTGATTTGATTTGATAATTTATGCTTTCTCCATTTGTTTTTAAATTCTGTTTTGGGAAATCTAGTTGATATCTGCAGACTTAAGTGAAACAAATGCCTTCAAAGAAAGTGATAAAATATAATCATTTTACCCAAAGATTTTGTTATATTGGAACTGCAGTTCTATTAATAGAAGAGAAGTTTCATTAACTCAGATTGTTAGATGTATTTGTTCTCTTTTGAATATCTGCCTAGACACCATTAGTGAAAGTGTTTTGAAAGGATAATGTGTAGGACTGACATTTTAGGCTACCTGAAATTTGTTTAAGGAACCAATTTACAGTATTTACATAAACCAGTGGAAAGGTACAGAGAATTTCTGCATCATACATATCAGAAAAGTAGATTGAATTTATAGTGATGATAACATGTAGCATTCTAAAATCTGGAGAGTTTGTGTTAAGCCATGTAATTATTGGATATGTGGGCTTGTTGAGAGGAGAAGTCAGTGTAAAGGAACCTTAAAATTAGGCTTCATTCTGTAATGTAAAGTCTCCAAAGAGATGCATACTGCTGCATTCAACAAATATAAATATGTTACACACGTGGCTCTTCTAGTATAGATAATCTGTTCACTTATTAGAATCGATACCTACTGAATATATTAGTGTTTCTTTAAGTGTAGGTGCAATTATCCTTTATTACTTGAGTCTAAGGTTGTATTTGAAAACAACGATTCAACTTAAGGATGGTTCAAATTTTTAAATTTTATTTCTAAGTAATGTGCTCATCTTAAATTAATACATTTGCCTTAATGAAATACTAGTCTATGTGCCTCAAATTCCAGGAGGATGTCTTGTGTAATGAAAGAACTACTAGATTTCCCTTCTGCATCCGATTTGAAGATGATTTTCAGATGCTTCTTATTAAAATATTCTTAATCTTTCAAATTTTGTACTTTTAATGCCTTGAACATCAGCTTCAAATAATGACTAAATAAGGGGAAAATGTAATAAAATATTACAAATGGGATAGTAAGTTACCACATGAAAGGTTAATTGACACGTTAAAGAACTTAAGACCACTTGATTTTTATTTATTTTTATTTGGTCAGAATGTCCATATATATATATACACCTATATAGACACATACACACATGGACATTCTGACCAAAATGTAAAATGTACAGACTCACTGAATAGTGAATGCATCCAAAGAGTAACAAGAGAATCTATATAATAGGTGCTGACATCATTCACTCCTATGTGAAAATTTGCTTTTCCATTTTTCTTTTTTTAAGAAAATGTTATATGCTTCTCAGAGTAGGGTATTTGGGAAAAAGTAAAGGTTATAGATTTGGGTACGTTTCCTCTGAGTTAACTTTTTTGTATGCAATGGAAAAATATCTTTAAACTCTCTATAAACTACTAATAGACTTTATAAAATACTTGATCCGTACATTCTGAATGTATGCACTATATATACTATATAGTTTTAAGTATCTGAATCTTTAGTTTGATATGTGCTCTGAAGGATAATTTTCCATACTAATTCAAGTGTTCATACAATAAACACTTGGCAGTATGTTGGAAGAAACTAGTCTTGGCATGTTTTGGAGCAAATTCTTGAGTCAGTTATGTTTTTAATGTTTGTATAAAGGTGCCAGTGAGTGGCTGTCTAGAATTCTGGATGCCATGAGTAGTTTAAGATGCTATAATGCTTTTCCACTATAAGGGAGTTCAATGTGGAACTCTTTGCTTATTGCTGCACACCTGCCTAGTTTTAGAATAACAATACATTATGTAAGGTTAACATTATTTAGGAAGATTTTCTAGTTTGGAAGTGGAATTGAAATTGCCTGACACCTGTCAGAAATATGGAAAATGGCATGTTATTGACCAGGGAAAAGTGTAAGTAACAAAAGGGTGGGATGATCAGATGATAACCTGAAAACCAAGGAAAAGTGGACAGAAGGATTACTTACATAATCAAATAATGTAATTATAAAGACTCACAATTCATGCCCCAATCTTAATAACTCATCATCGTTAGGCTACTTGAAAAGAAATAGTATAATTCAGGACCATTGTGATGTAGTATGTAAAAACATCCTTTGTAAAAGTTTTTTATCTGGGCCAGGGTGGCTCGTGCCTGTAACCCCAGCACTTTCGGAGGCTGAAGTAGGAGGATTGCTTAAGACCAGGTGTTCTAGACCAGCCTGGACAACATAGTGAGATCCCACCTCTATAGAAAAAATGTTTTCAATCATACTTATTTAATTAAAAGTAGACACTTGGAAACAAAGGAAAAGACACCCTCTTGCTTCTTACTATACTTTTATTTTATAAGGGCAATCATTTCTTTATTACGTAGAACTTCTTTTGAGGGAATATGATAAAGATAAAAGAAAAGAAAGTAAAAGATAGAATAAAACTAAAAGCTATGAGATTATAACTTTTAAAAGTTAGAAGAAAAGGAAATGGAATGCAGTAACAGTACACATGAAGTTGATATTTCAAGCATTTTTATACTACACCATTACCAAAAATAGCTTTCATTTATATGATTTTCTATGTATTATTTGGTCCTCATTTCTACTAAAGTAAGCAGAGAAGATGTTATTATGACCATTTCATGAAAATGTAAACTAAAAGCATGACGAGGTTGAGCAAGATTGTCTTTGCCCTTTGACAAGTAAAAGGCACTTGATTTGGATGGATAAAGCGCAAATTAAAAGAAACAGACTAAAGATGTAGTAAATATTTTAATGTTTTTCAAAAGTCCTTTTAAAATGGGAAGGATGAGTGTCACTGAGTGTCACTATCAGTACGCTGCAGATATTTTTCCTAACTGGCCCATTTGAAGCTCATTTAGTCACCACTACTGCAGTTCTGCAGCGGAGGCGCAGGGTGCCGCTGCCGGTTAGTGCTGTGCAAAGCATTGGCTCCTCCCGCCGCAGCCGACTCGGAAGAAAAGTGCACTCTTTAGCCGGCTTCCTGAAGCGGAGACATCATTAGAGAACCCACGCAACGAGACAAAGCAAGCAGTTGGTCCTGCCCAGACAACTCTTGGGATTATTTAAAGATCTCCTCTCCTCGGATTTAGAAAGGCACAGGCGCAGAGAGTGAGATGGGAAACAGCTCCGGATGGAGGGGCCCAGCAGGGCGGAGGCGAATGCTGTTTCTCTTCCTGCTGTCTTTGTTAGGCCAAGCGCCGTCCGAACCGATCCGCTACGCTATTCCGGAGGAGCTGGACAGGGGCTCGCTGGTAGGGAACCTCGCCAAGGACCTGGGGCTTGGCGTGGGGGATTTGCCTACTCGGAACCTGCGGGTTAGTGCAGAGAAGAAATTCTTTACCGTGAATAGCGAAAACGGGGACTTACTTGTGAGCGACCGTATAGACCGAGAGCAGATTTGTGGCAAGAAGTCGGCGTGCGTTCTGGAATTCGAAATGGTTGCTGAAAAGCCTTTCAACTTTTTTCATGTAACTGTGCTGATCCAGGATATTAACGACAACCCACCGACCTTTAGCCAAAATACCACTGAGCTGGAAATCAGCGAACTGGCGCTCACTGGAGCCACCTTTGCCCTGGAATCTGCGCAAGATCCTGATGTAGGTGTCAATTCGCTGCAGCAGTACTACCTCAGCCCTAATCCGCACTTCTCTTTGACTCAGAAGGAGAACCTGGATGGCAGTAGGTACCCAGAGCTGGTACTGAAAGCACCCCTGGACAGGGAAAAGCAGCCACATCACCACCTGGTCCTCACAGCTGTGGATGGGGGCGAGCCCTCTAGAAGCTGTACCACCCAGATCAGGGTAATTGTCGCAGATGCAAACGACAACCCCCCAGTATTTACTCAGGACATGTACAGGGTCAGTGTTGCAGAGAACCTGCCTGCTGGCTCCTCGGTATTAAGAGTGCTGGCCACTGACCTGGATGAGGGCTTCAATGCCGCGATCACCTATGCCTTCATCAATACTGGTAAGGCAGTGAGACAACTGTTCAAGTTGGATAGTAAAACGGGGGAACTCACCACTATTGGAGAACTGGACTTTGAAGAGAGAGAGCGCTTCACAATTGGGGTGGAAGCAAAGGATGGTGGACATCACACTGCACATTGTAAAATACAAATCGATATTTTGGACGAAAATGATAATGCCCCAGAGATAACCGTGGCTTCTGAATCCCAACATATACCAGAAGATGCTGAGCTGGGGACTGCTTTTGCCCTGATCAAAACACATGATCTAGATTCTGGATTTAATGGAGAAATCCTATGCCAACTGAAAGGAAAGTTCCCCTTTAAAATCGTTCAAGATACCAAAAACACATACAGGTTGGTGACAGATGGAGCCCTGGACCGGGAGCAGATCCCAGAATACAATGTGACCATCACAGCTACTGACAAAGGCAATCCACCACTTTCCTCCAGCAAGACCATCACTCTGTACATACTTGACGTCAACGACAACGTTCCAGTTTTCCACCAGGCCTCCTACATGGTGCGTGTAGCTGAGAACAACCTGCCAGGAGCCTCCATTGCGCAAGTCAGCGCCTCGGATCCCGACTTGGGACCTAATGGCCATGTCTCCTACTCGATAGTGGCCAGTGATCTGGAGCCGCATGAGCTGTCGTCCTACGTGTCCGTAAACGCGCAGAGTGGGGTGGTGTTCGCGCAGCGCGCCTTCGACCACGAGCAGCTGAGCGCCTTCAAGCTCACGCTGCAGGCCTGCGACCAGGGCTCACCGGCTCTCAGCGCCAATGTGAGCCTGCGCGTGTTGGTGGTCGACCTCAATGACAATACGCCGCGCGTGCTGTACCCAGCTCTGGGGTCCGAGGGCTCTGCCCTCTTCGATATGGTGCCACGCACCGCAGAGCCTGGCTACCTGGTGACCAAGGTAGTGGCGGTGGACGCAGACTCAGGACACAACGCCTGGCTGTCCTACCACGTGCTGCAGGCCAGCGAGCCTGGGCTTTTCAGCCTGGGGCTGCACACGGGTGAGGTGCACACAGCGCGTGCCTTGGGTGACAGGGAGGCGGCCCGCCAGCGCCTGCTGGTCGCTGTGCGTGATGGAGGACAGCCATCTCTTTCAGCCACCGTCATGCTGCACCTAATCATTGCGGATAGCTTGCAAGAGATACAACCTGACCTTAGCGACCGCCCCACGCCCTCCGACCCTCAGGCGGAGCTACAGTTTTATCTAGTAGTGGCGTTGGCCTTGATCTCTGTGCTCTTCCTCCTCGCAGTGATTCTGGCAATTGCCTTGCGCCTGCGACGCTCCTCCAGACCCGCCACTGAGGGCTACTTTCAGCCTGGTCTCTGCTCCAAGACTGTACCTGGAGTTCTCCCAAACTACAGTGAAAGGACTTTGCCTCATTCCTATAATCTGTGTGCTGCCTCACATTCCTCAAACACCGAGTTTAAATTTCTCAATATAAAGGCTGAAGATGCTGCCCCACAAGATCTTCTATGCGATGAAGCATCTTGGTTTGAAAGTGCTAGTAATGACAATCCAAAAATGCCTTCTAGTTCAGGCAATTTGCAACAGGTGAGTTTCTTCAAACCTTTCCATCTATAAATATAAGTGGGTTTCAATTTATGGATTTAGAGATGAAAAGTATACAGAGTAAATATTTTCTGATTCCATTATTTTATTGATTTTCTGGATATAGAGTAGGGTGTCAGAATTTCTTTCTGGGTTTATCTGTGTTGCAGTTGTTCTTTCATAGATACCCTCCTTTTGATAGTCTTGAAACTTTTGTTAATCCTAATATGCTATAATCAGAAACATTCTTCTTCTTCTTCTTCTTCTTTTTAATGGGTTTTCACCATGATGGCCAGGCTGGTCTTGAACTCCTGACCTCAGGTGATTCACCCACCTGGGCCTCCCAAAGTGTTAGAATTACAGGCGTGAGCCACTGCACCCGGCCCAGAAACATTCTTAACACAGTATTGTCTCACGCTGTCATTTTCAGACATTCTATCCAGAATTAGACACAAATATGCACAATTAAGCAATTTGCTTAGTTTTGATGCAGCCAATCCTAAAATATATAAAACATAATATATATCTTAAGACATTTTTATGTAACTTGTATTTAATATTTTTACTTCCCTTTGCACGTTTTTAAATGTATACATGGATGTTGCCTATGTCAGGGTAGTTCTTAATTTCTACGGTAATCAAAAGAAATAATGGCATCTAAAATGGCAACTCTTGTCATGGGCACTGTAGTGAATTGATTCAAAACGTGTTTGTGTAGCTTATGCCTGTAGTCCCAGCTATTTCGGAGGCTGAGGTGGGAGGATCCCTTGAGCCCAGGAGGTTGTGGCTGCGATGAGGTATAATTGTGCCCCTGCACTCTAGCCTGGGAGACAGAGGGAGACTTTGTCTCTAAAACATGTATTTGTGGTTGTTAGTACCTTTGTTGAAAATGGGACTAATGTAAATGATGGTGGACTGTGATCATTCAAGATTTGCAGAAGATTATAATATTATTTCTGTTCCCTGAGGTCCTAAAAGATATTTTCACAAAAATGAATGGTAAACTTCAGAGAACGTTAAAAATTATTTGAAATGATCTCTGTCATTCTTTTAAATGCTTCATCATCTTGGGGAAGGAAATATTAGGAGTGTCACCTTTGCAGATTTAGCAGAAATAAAATTCTCTATATGGTAGTTTCACAAAACGATGCAGTATTAATTTAGGACTCTAAGCGTCGCTGTTCACTAACCCGGGCAAGAAAAATCGACGAAACCCGAGTTATATTCTCCAGCCACAGAGCAAATCAGACAGGAAAGCAGGAAAGCTGTGCACAAACTCTGACCTGAAACGCTTCGCATCTGATCTCTGCTTGTTGAAGGACCTTCACCTCTATTTCTCAGAAGCGCAAAAGTGATGCGGACCTGTTCTTCCCCTTAATCCCAAGGAAGTCTCTAACAAGCCAGCAATGGCGGCTCTGCAGAGGCGCCCGCGGCGCAGCAAGCAGCTCTCGCTCCTCACGCTCCTGGGGACTCTGTGGGGGGCTGCGGCAGCGCAGATCCAATACTCTATTCCTGAGGAGCTGGAGAAAGGTTCCTTCGTGGGCGATATTGCCAAGGACCTGGGGCTGGAGCCCCGGGAGCTGGCGGAGCGCGGAGTTCGCATCATCTCCAGAGGTAGGACGCAGCTTTTCTCTCTGAACCAGCGCAGCGGCAGCTTGGTCACCGCCGGCAGGATAGACCGGGAGGAGCTCTGCGCTCAGAACCCGCGGTGTCTGGTGAGTTTTAACATTCTTGTCGAGGATAAACTGAATCTTTATCCCGTGGAAGTGGAAATAGTGGATATTAATGACAATACACCCCGATTCTTAAAGGAAGAATTGGAAGTGAAAATTATCGAAAACGCAGCGCCATCCTCTCGTTTTCCACTAACAGAGGTCTATGACCCCGATGTGGGAAAGAACTCCCTTCAGGGCTTTAAGCTCAGCAGCAATAGTCACTTCTCAGTGGACATACAAAGCGAAGCCCATGGGCCCAAGTACCCGGAGCTGGTGCTCGAGGGCACCCTGGACCGGGAAGGAGAAGCCGTTTACCACCTGGTCCTTACTGCCATGGATGGCGGTGACCCTGTCCGCTCAAGCGTCGCCCGAATTCTGGTAACAGTTCTAGATGCAAATGACAACGCTCCAGTGTTTACTCAGCCTGTCTACCGCGTAAGTGTTCCTGAAAACCTGCCAGTAGGCACACCAGTGTTAGCAGTAAATGCCACCGACCTGGATGAAGGAGTCCACGGGGAAGTAACTTATTCCTTTGTGAAGATTACAGAAAAGATCTCACAAATTTTCAGTTTGAATGCTTTGACTGGAGAGATTTCAACTTCTGCAAATCTCGACTATGAGGACTCGAGCTTTTATGAGCTGGGTGTTGAAGCCCGAGATCGGCCAGGTCTTCGAGACAGAGCGAAAGTCTTAATAACTATCTTGGATGTCAATGATAATGTACCAGAAGTGGTTGTTACATCTGGAAGCAGAACAGTTGCTGAAAGTGCGCCTCCAGGAACAATAATCGCTCTTTTTCAAGTGTACGATCGAGACTCTGGACTGAATGGTCTGGTAACCTGTTCCATCCCGAGAAGTCTCCCATTTGAATTGGAAAAATCAGTTGACAATTATTATCGATTAGTGACAAATGCAGCTCTAGACCGGGAAGAGGTGCCCTTGTACAACGTCACTGTGACAGCCACAGACAAAGGAACACCATCTCTGTCTACAGAAACAATCATCTCCCTAAATGTGGCAGACACCAACGACAACCCACCCACCTTCCCCCACTCATCCTACTCAGTCTATGTCCTTGAAAACAACCCCAGGGGCGCCTCCATCTTCTCTGTGAATGCCCTGGACCCTGACGTGGACCAGAACGCCCGAGTCACCTACTCACTGGCAGAAGACACCCTCCAGGGGGCGCCTCTGTCCTCCTACGTGTCCATCAACTCTGACAGTGGCATTCTGTACGCCCTGCGCTCCTTCGATTACGAGCAGTTGAGAGACCTACAGCTATGGGTAACAGCCAGCGACAGCGGGGACCCGCCTCTCAGTAGCAACGTGTCACTGAGCCTGTTTGTGCTGGACCAGAACGACAACGCACCCGAGATCCTATACCCCGCCCTCCCCACAGATGGTTCCACCGGAGTGGAGCTGGCGCCCCGCTCCGCAGAGCCCGGCTACCTGGTGACCAAGGTGGTGGCGGTGGACAGAGACTCGGGCCAGAACGCCTGGCTGTCCTACCGCCTGCTCAAGGCCAGCGAGCCTGGACTCTTCACAGTGGGGCTGCACACGGGCGAGGTGCGCACGGCGCGGGCCCTGCTGGACAGAGACGCGCTCAAGCAGAGCCTCGTGGTGGCCGTCCAGGACCACGGCCAGCCCCCTCTCTCGGCCACCGTCACGCTCACCGTGGCTGTGGCCGACAGCATCCCCGAAATCCTGGCCGACCTGGGCAACCTCGAGCCCTCAGAGGGTTCTCACAACTCAGACCTCACGCTGTACCTGGTGGTTGCGGTGGCCGCGGTCTCCTGCGTCTTCCTGGCCTTCGTGATCGTGTTGCTGGCGCTCAGGCTGCGGCGCTGGCACAAGTCACGCCCGCTGCAGGCTTCGGAAGGTGGCTTGGCGAGCGTGCCGGGTTCCCACTTTGTGGGCGTGGACGGAGTTCGGGCTTTCCTGCAGACCTATTCCCACGAGGTCTGCCTCACCGCGGACTCTCGGAAGAGTCACCTGATCTTCCCCCAGCCCAACTATGCGGACACGCTTATCAGCCAGGAGAGCTGTGAGAAAAACGAGCCTCTTCTGGTAACTCAGGATTTACTTGAAACGAAAGGAGACCCCAAGCAACTTCAGGTGAGTTTATTTCCGCAAAAGCGGAAGAGTCATCTGATCTTCCTGCAACCCAACTGTGCAGACACGCTCATCAGCCAGAACGGCTGGGAGAGAAGTGAACCTCTTTTGGTAGGAAGATTCGTGATTTTGTAAAGCGGAAGATTCCGTCGTTCAGGTGAGGGTATTGTTTTTATTGGTTGACGAGGATTAAAAATTATCTTTGATTAGTGCTTAGTTTTCTTAGTCCTTTGCAGGAAATCATATAATTTTAATGTTTTTCTTTCATAAGAAAAGATTATTTTTAAGTCTTAATTTTGTGGGGGAAAATAATGCATGTCCTAGTTTTTCTTTATCTTTCTCTTCTTGGCAAACTGTGTCAGGGATCAAGTACATCTCGTTTCTTAGGTTTTTCCTACTATGTGACATTTGTAAGGTTCTTTCTTTTTCTGATGTGGGAAAATAACCTTAATTTAGATCTGTATTAAAGAAGATCAAGATCTTGGTTTTAGGTAGAGTGGTGGCTCACACCTGTAATTCCACCTCTTCAGGAGGCTGAAATGGGAGGACCCCTTGAGGATAGGAGTCTGAGACCACCTTTAGCGACATAGCAGGACTCTGTCTCTATCAAAAAAAAAGAAATTAGCCAGATGTTGTGGCATGTGCCTGTAGTACCAGCTACTGGGGAATCTCTGATAGGAGGCTTGTTTAGGGGTCCTTGTACAGGGTTCTGAGTCTGCTGTGAGCTATAATTGTGCCACTGCACTCTAGCCTGGGAGACAGAATGAGACTCTCTCTCAAGAAAAAAAAAAATTGTTTTTTCTCAGTGTTATTTAATAATCATAAATGGGCCGGGCGCGGTGGCTCAAGCCTGTAATCCCAGCACTTTGGGAGGCCGAGGCGGGTGGATCACGAGGTCAAGAGATCGAGACCATCCTGGTCAACATGGTGAAACCCCGTCTCTACTAAAAATACAAAACATTAGCTGGGCATGGTGGCTCATGCCTGTAATCCCAGCTACTCAGGAGGCTGAGGCAGGAGAATTGCCTGAACCCAGGAGGCGGAGGTTGCGGTGAGCCGAGATCGCGTCATTGCACTCCAGTCTGGGTAACAAGAGCGAAACTCCATCTCAAAAAAAAAAAAAAAAAAAATTATAAATGACAGAGGTTCATATGGCAGATGTTTTACCTTTATTACCTGGAAATCAAAATTATTTTTAAAAAGATAGGAATCATTGAAAACTGCAGCAGGGAACACCTGATTTTTGGTGTTAGAACTATCTGTCATTTACTTGGGCCAGTTACAGTCACTATTATCTTCCAATTAAAATTAAGATTAAAAAGACTTACCAGAGATTGGATCTCCCTCTGTTGCCCAGGCTGGAGTGAAATCCACTTGTAACTGTGTATCCAGGGCAACTTGGATCTATGTTCCTAGGTTGCAATCCTCAAGTTTGGCCCAAATAAACTCTGCTTATATTATCTTTTAAGACAAGACTTTATCTATCTAACTCAGATTCTAAGAAAATAATTTTATAAGACTTCTTTCAAACTATAAAGCAGTATAGTGAACAAGTATTTGTTGACATCACCATTATTATAACTATTGGGTTGTTAACAAATAACTGTAAGTACCTGATGCTGTGTGCCCACTATAATGTCTTTTGCATACTGTGTGCCTGATAGTATTTAAGAGTAAAAATTAATTTTAAATCATGCTCGGTAGTGTATGCTTACAGGGAATATCTCCAAAAATAGATGACTGAATGGCAAATGGGAGAACAAATTTAATGGGGTTCAAATAAAAACTTAAATATTTCAGCATTTTAACCCAGACAATAAGGCTTCCATCATATAGAAACTCTGTTGAAATATTTCAAGAGAAAGGGTACTATCATTTAGAAGAATGATTAGTCTTATTTATTATGACTGAAACATGCAAACAAAATCATTGTTTCATGAACAGAAAACAGCAAAGTTTTTTACTATCAACGATGTTCAAAAAGAAAATGGATCACTAAGGAGGTAGGCGATTTCTGTTATCAGCAGTCTTCAGAAGTTATGTTGGTGGCCCTGGAATTCATGGAGCACAGGGGCTTCTATAATTTGATGAGTTGTTGAACTACAATATACTGTAGTCAAGATTTTTTTCCAGTCGAGTTGGAAGATTCTCCAATCTGGTGTTATTATAGAATGGATTGGCCACTTGTGCATCCAAATTTATTATGCATGTGAAAGAAAAAAGTAATTGAGAAAATATATTGAAAATAAATGAGAACCTCCTGTGTAACCTGACTTTGTCAGTCTTCATAATGATAACATTGAGTTGATGTTTCTTTAAATAAGGTGCTAAGAATAATACATGTTTTTCTAAACAAATATTGTGGCATTTACATTTAAGGAATCATTATAGAATTATTTATTTCAAGTTTCCAAATGTATATACCTAACCAAGAAATCAAATCATCCACATTTTCCAATCTAATTTGCTTGTACATTTGTTATATAATTTGATAAAGTAACAATTTTAAACAACTTGAATCTTGGATATTAGTCTCATGAGTTAGGCGGCCTGTTATACATGTGAGGATTTATTTCATAAACTCTGAGCGTATGAATGTTATTTTACTATATCACCAATTGAGGACGGTAAAATACATCTTAAACATTTGTTGTTATAGGCAAAGCTCACTAACTACTTTCTGTGGATCTCGGCCTGTTTTACTTTATTCTCTTATTACCTGTGACCATTTCATTTAAACAAATAAAACATTTCATCTATGGAAAAACTACCAACTTCTACTTTCATAAAACTCATTCATTCATGTGGACTGACTAACTATTAAACATCCTGGTAACCATGGAATTGGCTAAGTTCTGACTAAGTGAGTTTCTTTGATCCAACTGCAATACAGATCATTAAGAATAAGATAGGTTGTCTGAGATTTGAGAGTTCAGTATAGAATTTTGAAGCATCAGGGAAAAAAATCTACCAAATTATTGGATTATTTTATTGTCTGCAAAAGCCTTTTTTTTTTTTTTTTTTTTTTTTTTTTTTGACAGTCTTGCTCTGTCTCCCAGGCTGGAGTGCAGTGGCGCAGTCTCTGCTCACTGCAACCTCCTCCTGGGTTTAAGCAGTTCTCCTGCCTCAGCCTCCCGAGTAGCTGGGATTACAGGCATGTGCCACCATGCCCAGCTAATTTTCGTATTTTAATAGAGATGGACTTTCACCATGATGTCCAGTCTAGTTTCGAACTCCTGACATGAAGTGATCCATCTACCTCTGCCTCCCAAAGTATTGGGATTACAGGTATGAGCCACCGAGCCTGGCCTAAAAGCCATTCATTTCTGATCAAACTTCTGTTGAGGTGGCAATTGTCAAAGAGGACGGAGTAAAATTTCAGAGGAGAATCATTGGAAAATACCTATATCTTTGCTTGAGAATGAAAATCTAAATGGAACTTCAAAGAACTTTTTTGTTTGTTTTTAGTTATAAAAAATGCCCCAAAAAGAAAAGAGAGAAGATAATCAATTTGATACCTGGGAAGCTAGCAGACTTTACATAGAATTTTTTTTTTTCCTTTTTTTTTTTTTTTTTTTTTTTTTTTTACCGGGGGAAGCTGGTCTTTCAGAATCAGAGTTGTTGTTGTTTTTTTTTAATGCAACCAAACAAATGATCAGAATTCTTCCCAATATTTTAGTCAATAATAATATGCCCTCTTTAAATTATGAAATGATTTCAATTTGTTATGATGAGCTTATGTTAGATTTTATTAAACATATCTTGGTAGTTTAGTAAAGATCTTTAATATTTAATTTTATGATGTTCGATAACTCAGAAAATGTGAACGCTAGAGAGAATGAAGACAGTTACTCGCTAAGGTGTGTATCCTTTGTATTCAGAGTAGTGTACAATTTAACTAGATGTTATTTCTTTCTCTCCAAAGAAGGTACAAAGACACAGTAAGTTAAGACTTTTTAAAAACAATAGACTAAGAAGCAAATGTGAGATGAAACTATGAATTTTGAGGCATCAGGTAGAAATGGATCAAGACATTGAGAGCTGTAACCTCCAAACATGAAAGTCTGTTTGAAAATGTCTGCAAGTATTTGTGTTATTTAATGACCTTATACTTTGCTTGCTTCAACAAGAAGTTAAAAAGTACCACTAAACAAATAGAATTTAACACCAGTTTACAGAATTCATCTCTAATACCTCTGTTAGTTCCTTTAAGCTTATCTACTTTCATTCAATAGTCTTCCAATTTGACAAAATCAATACAGGGCATGTAGTGTATATTACATAATACCCCTTCTACGCCTAGGATAGTGCCCTATAATTGTATACTGGAATACAAAGTATAAATATTAATGCTAAGCAGGTAAATAAAGAATATGCATATCTTTATATTAGTTAAAGTGATATTTCAATGCTTAATTAAGTTCAAGTTAGTCAGATTTTACCACCAAAATACATTAAAATAAATTTTAAGATTTTGAAAAAAAAAACTATCTACTTTGTGAATGCAAACATAACTATGGATTATTTTGGTAGATCAAAGCAGAATTTCCTTCAAAGTATTTCCTGTATTCTGGAGCAATGCCACCAGAAAGCATAAATAGGTTACTTAGGAGCCTCCCACAAAACTGTTAAGCTTTCTTAGTATTAGTTCTGGATTTTCCACCTGGTTCCACCAGCCACTCTCCAGGACCTGAAATAATTTACAAAGCAAGACTGTTTCTTGCTAGGTCTTTATTCCAGGGTATGTCATTTTCTTTTATTCTGCAAATGTGTGAAAGGAACTTTCTTTTATTTCTGCTAGCAAAGGGTAGCCTCTGAACTGTCAATAATTTAGTTTTACTCTATCAACATCAATGGAGAAATGAGTACCTCTAAGGATCCTCTCAAGACAGTCATGTATTTTGCTCAAATACTGTCTAGAGATCCTTTTTTTCTCAATTATACGAGAATAGGATAGGATGAAGATTTCAATTGCATAATGAAAAGAATCAGCCAATCCATTATCCATTTTCTTATGAATTCACAGCCCAGTAGGATCTCTGCAGATTTCTGCCCTCTGTAGAAAATGGCTTGCTTCTATAGCTGATTGTTATAGTCAAGACCAACAATGATTTCTTTCTTTTCTCATAAGACTGGGAGTGAGAATGTTTGGATTTCTACAATGTTCTGCTACTATATAATCAGGAAGAACGCAATTCTCTCTCATTTTTTTGAATGGTCAAAATAAAGGTGTTATACCATTTCTAAGGTTCTATACAATAAAAAATTTATTAAAATATGTCTATATCTTACAATGATTTTGACTTTCTGAATCTTGCATGGTGGTGTCTAGGATATATATGTTCAATTAATATTGAATTAATTAAAATTTATATACACTGATGTAAATATTTTCTACATAAAATCTTTCATACAAATTTAAACAAAGTTTACCTTTTTGTCTTCAATGGCTGATTTTCCTATGTGCGATAACGTGTAAGTCAGCGCCCAAAAGAGTCACTTGAAAGTCTCAAGGCAAAGCAGAGTTTTAACAAAATTATCTAAGATTATCAAACACCTGTCCATAAACACTGTTACATTAATTCAGTGTCTTAAAATGGATTTTTAAATTATCAGGAATATCTAGAGTGAAGAAATTTCAACAGGGAAATTATGAAAGATGAAACAGTTTTCTATGAAATCAGTGTATTGTGCATCAATCTGGTGCAGTAACTTAGTAAGGACTCAGAGCGCCGCTGTTCACCAACCAGGAAAAAATGGTGCGAGAGCTCGCACAGAAACCACCGAGTTTTACAGGACAGAGAAACGACAGATTGCGGAAGGCCCTCTCCCAGGCTGCACTAAACTCAAGCCTCTATCCTGCGGATTCTGCGCTCCCTTTCCGAAGACAGAGGGGTCCAGCAAGACACACCGGCACGCATTCAGAAGCACTTCCCGAGACGGGCGTCTAAGCAAAAGGAGCAGGACGACTATGGCGGCTCAGCCGTGGGGCGGAGACTGCAGAGGATTCGTTCTGCTCTCCATCCTCCTGGGGACCCTGTGGGAAGCCTGGGCAGGACGCTATTCTCTACTCAGTGTCCGAGGAGACGGACAAAGGGTCCTTTGTGGGTGACATCGCCAAGGACCTGGGGCTGGAGCCCCGGGAGCTTGCGGAGCGCGGAGTCCGCATCGTCTCCAGAGGTAAGACGCAGCTTTTCGCCCTGAACCCGCGCAGCGGTAGCTTGGTCACTGCGGGCAGGATAGACCGGGAGGAGCTCTGCGCTCAGAGCCCGCGATGTCTGGTGAACTTTAACATCCTGATGGAAGATAAAATGAATCTTTACCCTATAGATGTGGAAATAATAGATATTAACGACAACGTTCCAAGATTCTTGACGGAAGAAATAAATGTAAAAATAATGGAGACTGCAGCTCCTGGGGTTCGATTTCCGTTAAGTGAGGCTGGGGATCCAGATGTGGGCACGAACTCCCTCCAGAGCTACCAGCTCAGCCCCAATCGCCACTTCTCCCTGGCTGTGCAAAGTGGAGACGACGGAACTAAGTACCCAGAACTGGTACTGGAGCGGGTGCTGGACCGGGAGGAAGAGAGGGTTCACCACCTGGTCCTCACAGCCTCTGACGGCGGCGACCCGCCCCTATCCAGCACCGCCCGCATCCAGGTAACAGTGGTGGATGTGAATGACCACGCACCTGTCTTCTCTCTGCCTCAGTACCAAGTAACTGTCCCCGAGAATGTGCCAGTGGGCACAAGACTGCTCACAATACATGCTATCGACCTGGACGAGGGAGTCAATGGGGAAGTGACATATTCCTTTCGGAAAATAACACCTAAACTTCAAAAGATGTTCCATCTAAACTCACTTACTGGAGAATTATCAACTTTAGAAGGATTAGATTATGAAGAAACTGCCTTCTATGAAATGGAAGTTCAGGCTCAAGATGGTCCTGGTAGTCTGACAAAGGCGAAAGTACTGATCACAGTTTTAGACATGAATGATAATGCTCCAGAAGTGACTGTGACGTCTTTAAGTAGCTCAATCCCTGAAGACACACCTCTTGGGACAGTAATTGCTCTTTTCTACCTGCAAGACAGAGATTCTGGAAAGAATGGTGAGGTGACCTGCACCATTCCAGAAAATCTACCTTTTAAATTAGAAAATTCAATAGATAATTATTATAGATTGGTCACAACCAAAAATTTGGACCGGGAAACACTTTCTATGTATAATGTCACACTCAAGGCCACAGATGGTGGAACTCCTCCCCTGTCAAGGGAAACTCACATCTCCGTGCAGGTGACAGACACCAATGACAACCCACCCACCTTCCCCCACTCCTCCTACTCAGTCTACATTCCTGAGAACAACCCCAGAGGGGCCTCCATTTTCTTGGTGACTGCACAGGACCACGACAGCGAGGAGAATGCCCAGGTCACTTATTCCTTGGCTGAAGACACGATCCAGGGGGCACCAGTGTCCTCATATGTCTCCATAAACTCTGACACTGGAGTCCTGTATGCACTGCAATCCTTTGACTATGAGCAGTTGAGAGAACTACAACTGAGAGTGACAGCACGTGACAGCGGGGACCCACCTCTCTGCAGCAACACGTCACTGAGCCTATTCGTGCTGGACCAGAACGACAATACGCCCGAGATCCTGTACCCCGCTCTCCCCACAGATGGTTCCACCGGAGTGGAGCTGGCGCCCCGCTCCGCAGAGCCCGGCTACCTGGTGACCAAGGTGGTGGCGGTGGACAGAGACTCGGGCCAGAACGCCTGGCTGTCCTATCGCCTGCTCAAGGCCAGCGAGCCTGGACTCTTCACAGTGGGGCTGCACACGGGCGAGGTGCGCACGGCGCGGGCCCTGCTGGACAGAGACGCGCTCAAGCAGAGCCTCGTGGTGGCCGTCCAGGACCACGGCCAGCCCCCTCTCTCGGCCACTGTCACGCTCACCGTGGCCGTGGCCGACAGCATCCCCGAAGTCTTGGCCGATCTGGGCAGCCTTGAGCCCTCCGACGGTCCTTACAACTCAGACCTCACGCTGTACCTGGTGGTGGCGGTGGCCGCGGTTTCCTGCGTCTTCTTGGCCTTCGTGATCGTGCTGCTGGCGCTCAGGCTACGGCGCTGGCACAAGTCAAGGCTGCTGCAGGCTTCCGAAGGTGGCTTGGCAAGCGTGCCGGGTTCGCACTTTGTGGGCGTGGACGGGGTGCGGGCTTTCCTGCAGACCTATTCCCACGAGGTCTCCTTCACTGCTGACTCGCGGAAGAGTCACCTGATCTTCCCCCAGCCCAACTATGCGGACACACTCATCAGCCAGGAGAGCTGTGGGAAAAACGATTTGCTAACATCCTTAGATTTAAATGAATGCAAAGATGAAGTGCCAAGTATTCAGGTGAGCCCAGCCCTTCCTTTATTTCCGTGAAGAATTTGTTTGCATGATGTTTCTCTATTATTTTGCAAAACCAGTGTTTTGAAAATAGGGATTTAAAAAGTTTTATAGAGGTAAAAATGTTTCCTTCAGTGGTGATACTTTAATGTAGAACGCATAGGAGATAGTATCGTTTCTTTAGTGAAAGCCTATGGACAAGATTATGAATAAGTGGACTATTGCATTTTATAATTTCTACCTACTTTCCAATCTGTTTTCCAACCTACTTTCTTAAATGAGAATGAATCGAGTCTTTCATATTGCACGAGGTTAGCAGGAATAAAACAGACCTCAGCTGCCTTCCTAGGATTCTCTTTAGCATTCAAATATATAACAGGTTCTGAAATATGTCTTCCATGTGAAGACTTTTCTGTGTCTGATTCTGCCTTCATGTACCTCAGCTTGGTGGTCCTAAAAAATCTTAATTGCTTCTTGATCTATTTAAAGAATAATCATCTATTAATGGGGTGGTAGTGGAAGGTTAGATTTATGCCTAAAGAATGAAATGTGTGTGTAGCACAGTTCACTAAGATCTATATCAAAGAGAGATATCAAGTCTAATGCCACACTAAAGGCCACCAGACAAAACCAATATACTATGTCAAATGTCATTTCAAGTGTTGTCATTGGCATTTGTGACATAGGCAGTTACATGTTTTAACATAGAATTCCAATTTGCTGTTTTAGTGGAATAGCTAGGTGAAATGCGTCTGTGGGCTATCAAAGTGGGAGACTGGGGATGCTGGCTTTGTTTCAACTGTCTCATATACTCAAACCCTAGGCCATCTTATGTACACAGATCCTAGACCAGTAGTTGGTTTTATTCATTAAGTATATTGAAAAATTCAATTGGAAGTAACCCAATCTGGGATTAACTACTTCCATGTTCTTTTGTATAACATTAACTACTTCCGTGTTCTTTTCTATATCAAGTGATTGTCAGTGAGAAGGGGTGGATGACAAGGTAATCTTGATTCCAGAGACCTTTGAGTATTAATTAAAATGACACTTTTAGCCAGATATGGTGTTACAAGCTGTAGTCCACCTGAATGGGAGGCTGAGGCAAGAGGACAGCTTGAACCCAGGAATTGGAGGACCCTCCTAGATAATATGCAAGACTCTGTCTCTTAAAAGAAAAAAGACTTCTTTTTAGACTAGTGTTGTATTTGGTGGTACTTTGCACATGATCGACTGTACAATGGTGGTGGGAGATACATTTTACAAGTTCTGCTGTGTCTATATTTTAGTTGTTAAATCACTTGGGGTAGAAGACAATGTTGCTGACACTAACAATGTTACCGAGGGAAGGTCCTGTGGCAGAAATATGGTTATAAGCTATTTTGTAAAAGAAAATCTCCTGGGCAGGGTGCGGTGGCTCACACCTGTAATCCTTTGGGATTACAGGTAACACCTTTGGGAGGCTGAGGCAGGTGGATCACGAAGTCAAGAGATCAAGACAAACCTGACCAACATGGTGAAGCCCCATCTGTACTAAAAAATACAAAAATTAGCCAGGCATGGTGGTGTGCTTGTAATCCCAGCTACTGGGGAGGCTGAAGTGGAGGAATCACTTGAACAGGGAGGTGGAAGTTGCAGTGAGCTGAGATTGTGCCACTGCACTCCAGCCTGGTATCAGAGCAAGACTCTGCCTCAAAAAGAAAAAAGGAAAATCTCCAGACCAAAATTTATTAGATGCATACAATTATTTTTAGGCAATGGAGAGACATAATCCCTAAACTCAGTAAGCTATTGTAATCAAACTTTCCAGGGATTGTTTCCTTCAATTCTGAGGTCGTCAAAGAATGTAGGTGCAGAGGTAGGAAGCAGTGCTTCAGTGCAGCAGACCTCAATGACTTTGTGTTTTGATGCTGCATATTATCCCCTTGATAACTTTGAAGATGAATGTTGTATTTTGTAACCAGGAAAATAATTGTGTAATGAAGTAGGAGAGGAATAGGTATTGCCTGTGATCATTGAAATGAGAATCACATAATATTCCTGTAATGAAATCACTGAAACTATTGGGAAAGGAGATGTATTTGAAAATAAGTATAAATTGCACCTTCTAAAAGGCAATTTTGGCATTAATGATACTCTCCAGAAAAAAAAAAGTTGAAATAAATTTGGAGATACTTAGAAAAGCGAGAAAATGTTAGGAACAATGAAAGAAAGATAAAATATATCCAGTATATTGCTAATAAGTAAGTATGCAAAATTACTCTGCTCTAAGGTGGTTTAGGCCAAGTCTGTGTTATGGCTAGCTTTGTATAGACAGTGCATGTTTGAAGACTGGGGAAAGCTTATGTCAATAAACAGATGTTTATTGAATCCACATGATTTGCCTAAAAATCTTCAAAATTAGGATGAATTCATTTCTAAGAGTACATCTTTAGACATCATTAAATATGTAGACATATCCACGTAGTTTTTGTTCTTTCAGTTAGGCACACAGATACAGTTACTGCACTGGTTAAACTGAAGCAGCAGAGGCTGTAGTTTCCTAGTGCTGACTCTGGGCGCCGCTGTTGGCCAAAGTGGAGAGCCTGGCGCGCCAGATCTCCTCGCGCAGCCGCAGCGCACTTTCCAGGGCAGCCCCAGCTCAGACTCACCAGCACCAGCCTTTACACCGCTTCCTCCTCGGAAAAAGAAGAATCTCTTCCTGAACTGGAACTGGAACTGGAACTAAAGAAAGGCCTTTCGGACATCCGAAAATCTGCAATACAGAGGTTATTTGTAACCCGGCGACTCCAGGCTGGTGAGCAAGCTGAGGAGAGTAAGAGGGATGGGGAGCTGCGCCGGGGAGCGGGGCCGGGCTGAGAGGCGACCTGGGCTCTTTCTCTTCCTGCTGCCTTTGTTCTGCCCGGCGCTCGGTGAGCAGATTCGCTACAGGATTCCTGAGGAAATGCCCAAGGGCTCGGTAGTGGGGAACCTGGCCAAGGACCTGGGGTTCAGCGTCCAGGAGTTACCGACTCGAAAACTGCGCGTCAGTTCGGAGAAGCCTTACTTCACGGTGAGCGCAGAGAGCGGGGACTTGCTTGTGAGCATCAGGCTAGACAGGGAGGAGATCTGCGGGAAGAATCCAACTTGTGCTCTGGAATTTGAGGCTGTTGCTGAAAATCCACTGAACTTTTATCACGTGAATGTGGAGATCGAGGACATTAATGACCACACACCAAAATTCACGCAAAATTCCTTTGAGCTGCAAATAAGCGAGTCTGCACAGCCTGGCACACGATTTATATTAGGATCTGCCCATGATGCAGATATTGGTAGCAACACATTGCAGAGTTACCAACTCAGTCTCAGTGATCATTTCTCACTGACAAATAAAGAGAAATCAGATGGCAGTAAGTACCCTGAGCTGGTATTGAAGACACCTTTGGACCGAGAAAAGCAGAAATCCTACCACTTGACTTTGACTGCCTTGGACTTTGGGGCTCCACCCCTAAGCAGCACTGCACAAATACGGGTTCTAGTGACTGATGCCAATGATAATGCTCCAGTTTTCAGTCAAGACGTATACAGGGTGAGACTTTCGGAAAATGTGTACCCGGGGACCACGGTGCTACAGGTGACTGCCACGGACCAGGATGAGGGTGTCAATGCTGAGATCACTTTCTCTTTCAGTGAAGCTGGTCAGATCACCCAGTTTGACCTGAACTCCAACACCGGGGAAATAACTGTTTTAAATACATTAGATTTTGAAGAAGTCAAAGAATATTCCATAGTTTTAGAAGCAAGGGACGGTGGAGGAATGATTGCGCAATGCACAGTGGAGGTAGAAGTCATAGATGAAAACGACAACGTCCCAGAAGTGATATTCCAATCTCTACCCAACCTGATTATGGAGGACGCCGAGCTGGGAACACATATTGCTTTGCTCAAAGTGCGTGACAAGGATTCCAAACACAATGGAGAAGTTACTTGTAAATTGGAAGGTGATGTTCCGTTTAAAATACTAACTTCTTCAAGAAACACGTATAAATTAGTGACAGATGCTCTTCTAGACCGCGAGCAGAATCCAGAGTACAATATCACTATTACGGCCACAGACCGGGGCAAGCCTCCCCTCTCCTCCAGTTCCAGCATCACCCTGCATATTGGCGATGTAAATGACAACGCTCCGGTTTTCTCACAGCCTGCCTACATAGTCTATGTGTCAGAGAACAACCCTCCTGGAGCCTCTATTTCACAAGTCAGCGCTTCCGATCCCGACTTGGGACCTAATGGCCAAGTCTCCTACTCCATCGTGGCCAGTGACCTGGAGCCTCGGGAGCTGTCGTCCTACGTGTCCGTGAGCGCACAGAGCGGGGTGGTGTTCGCGCAGCGTGCTTTCGACTACGAGCAGCTGCGCTCCTTCGAGCTCACGCTGCAGGCCCGCGACCACGGCTCGCCTACACTCAGCGCCAACGTGAGCCTGCGCGTGTTGGTGAATGACCATAATGACAACGCCCCGCGGGTGCTGTACCCCGCGCTGGGGCCTGACGGCTCTGCACTTTTCGATATGGTGCCGCGCGCTGCAGAGCCCGGCTACCTGGTGACCAAGGTGGTGGCGGTGGACGCAGACTCAGGACACAATGCCTGGCTGTCCTACCATGTGCTGCAGGCCAGCGAGCCCGGGCTCTTCAGCCTGGGGCTGCGCACGGGCGAAGTGCGCACAGCGCGTGCCTTGGGCGACAGGGACTCAGCCCGCCAGCGCCTGCTGGTCGCTGTGCGTGACGGTGGACAGCCGCCACTCTCTGCCACCGCCACACTGCACCTGGTCTTTGCCGACAGCTTGCAGGAAGTGCTGCCGGATATCACTGACCGCCCTGAGCCCTCTGACCCCCAGTCGGAGCTGCAGTTTTATCTAGTGGTGGCCTTGGCCTTGATCTCAGTGCTCTTCCTCCTGGCCGTGATTCTGGCCATTGCCTTTCGCTTGCGACGCTCCTTCAGCCCCACCGCCTGGAGCTGCTTCCAACCTGGTCTCTGTGTCAAGTCTGGACCTGTGGTTCCCCCCAACTACAGCCAGGGGACTTTGCCTTATTCCTACAATCTATGTGTTGCACATACAGGAAAGACGGAATTTAATTTCCTCAAATGTAGTGAGCAGTTGAGTTCAGGACAAGACATACTTTGTGGTGATACATCTGGGGCCTTATTTCCACTTTGTAATTCCAGCGAATCGACTTCCCATCGGGTGAGTTTCCTTTAAATATAACTTTCTTCACATTGCCAATCCATTTCTCTATATTCATAGGAAAATATATATATTCACAGGAAAATATGTAATTTTTAGATCTCATGAATCATTTTGGGAATGTCCTAGTCAGTTAAAAAGCTATCATACCATTCTTCAAAGGAGGAGTGAAGTAAGAGCAATTGTGTGGCCCAACATTTGTTTGCTTGTTTTTTAACGGAGCTTAGATTTACAAAGCAATGAGGATGTGGTTTTAACCACAAAGTGAAAATGTTAGACAGTGTTGACTCTCCTAAAAAGTGAATGAGATTTTCCCATACATTTTCCTTCTTGTTGCCTAATATACGATGACTACTTCCTTCAGCTTGGACATACCATAAATATAAAAATATTAAGCAAGGAAATTAAGCTAAACTTCAATATTTTTCTTCACTAATTTAGCTGGTATGATCTCCATACTCGTCTACCATTTTATTTCTTGTGTTAACTTCCCTTTTATTTCAAATATTCCTACAATAAGGAGTCTTCAGCTGGATTTTTATGTCCATGGACCCCTTGTACGCGGTGTATGCTGTGTGTGTGTGTGTGTGTGTGTGTGTGTGTGTGTGTGTATGTGATCCTTTTACTTAGAAAAAGGTCTTCCATGCTCATTAGAAGATCAAAAGCAGATTCTCCTTACTTACAATATAGAGTTTCAGGATTAGACTGTTGTCAAGCTCATTCTGTGTCCTCCAGTAAAGAAAAGACAATGTTTTGTGTCTGTTGTTCCTCTCACACACAACCCTAATATATGATGTATAACTGCCTTTTCTGTAGCCCTAAACTAATATAGCTGGAGGTCTTCTAATCATTTTGCTATCTCTAGGAGATAAATATAGTCTTGAGTTTTTCAAATTTTTAGATGAAACTGTCAATCTGGTGTGCATACAAAATACCAAGGAACATTATATGAGTCTTTTGCTAGGTATCTCTAAGCAACTGCTTCAATTAATGGTCACTTTACAAATTGCTGAAGGAGGGCCGGGTGCAGTGGCTCACGCCTGTAATCCCATCACTTTGGGAGGCCGAGGAGGGTGGATCACGAGGTCAAGAGATCGAGACCATCCTGGTCAACATGGTGAAACCCCGTCTCTACTAAAAATACAAAAAATTAGCTGGGCATGGTGGCACATGCCTGTAGTCCCAGCTACTCAGGAGGCTGAGGCAGGAGAATTGCCTGAACTCAGGAGGCGGAGGTTGCGGTGAGCTGAGCTCACGCCATTGCACTCCAGCCTGGGTAACAAGAGCGAAACTCCATCTCAAAACAAACAAACAAGCAAACAAACAAATTGCTGAAGGAAAGAGACCTCTTTCGATTCTTTTTCTCTTTTTTCTTTTTCCTTTTTTTTTTTTTTTTTTTTTGAAACAAAGTCTCTATCACTCATGCTGTAGTGCAGCGGCACAGTGATAGCTCACTGCAGCCTCAAACTCCTGGGCTCAAGCAATCCTTCTGCATCACCCTCCTGACTAGCTGGAACTCAGGCTTATGCCACCAGACCTGGCTAATTTTTCTATTTTTAATAGAAACAATATTTTCCTTCACAAATTTAACTGGTATAGTTTCCATTGTCTACTCAGTTTTCCATATGCATAAGAAAATATATTCACAGAAAAATATAAAGTTTTCAGATCTAATGAATTGTTTTAGGAAAGTTTTAGTCAGTTAAAAAACTGTTATACCATTCTTCAAAGGAAGGGTGAAGTAGGCTGATCTGTGTTGCTTAGGCTCGTCTTGAAGGGAAAGAGACTTTTTTGTATTCACATTTATTGTTTGACTTCTTAGGAAGCATTATGTAGTCATTACTTTTTGCAGTTCTTTAGATTAAAGTAGGTAAAGTTGACTTCAGAATATATGTCTACCTTAAAAAGTGAAGTCTGCTTTAAAATGTAATCATCTCTTTGGTAGAAGGGATGAGATGGTGCTTTGCTTTTATTGTATATTCGTCTGTACCTTTCAAGTATTCAAATAGAAAAATATAAACAATGTAAATAAAATAGTAAAACAATATAATATCTCATAAAACTGCAATGGTTAAAGCATTTATCCTATTGAAATTTCAGTTTTTATATGAAAACATTATCAATGTGTAGTTCAAGTGGCATTTAGAAGGATAATTTAACAGTAACAACTTAAGTAAACTACTATAGAAAGCTTCTATATGATTAAGTAGTTTAAACAAAAAAAAAAAAAAAACAATTTCTGAGTCAGTCATCTCCAGTAGGTCTATTTTAGTCTTAAGATAAATTAATTTCTTTTGACAACTGAAGTTCTTAATTATTTGTTAGTGTATATTGGAGACATTTACAGTAAAGCTTAGAGCACAATGGGAAATGAAAGTATCATGTTAGTTTTTTGAAGACCAAATGTATTGCAGAAATGTGAGTAATCCGATGCTACAATCTGATCATTCTGATCTAATGTGATCATTTAATAACACCAAATAAAACATTCATCTCATTCTTTGGCTGTTTCTTTTAAAATATGTGTTTAGGGATAAATCAAATAAATAAGCAAATGGTATATTTTTTCTCAGTAATCTAGCAGAGTATTGCATTGAGAAGTAATCTGTATCTCAGTGCAGTAACTACTTAGGACTCTAAGCGCCGCTGTTCACCTACTGGGAGAGAAATGCAACCGAAAACACTCAGATCTCACACCTCACAAAGACCCGCAGATCCCACAAACTAACTGCTGGACTGCGGCGAAACCCCACCTCTGTTTGGAGGAACTCCAGGTTTCCGGAGGATTATCATCTCCATAGCTGCGGCAAGAAACTAAATAAGATACACGTATGCACAGTGAAGATTCTGAGAGGATTCTGCTGCAAAACAATGGCCACTTCACGGAATCGCCCCAGACGCGGCGAGCTAATCCTGCTGTGCGCGCTGCTGGGTACACTGTGGGAGGTCGGGAGGGGACAGATTCGCTACTCGGTGCCAGAAGAGACAGACAAAGGCTCTTTCGTGGGTAATATCTCCAAGGACCTGCGGCTGGAGCCCCGGGAGCTGGCGAAGCACGGAGTCCGCATCGTCTCCAGAGGTAGGACGCAGCTCTTTGCTCTGAACCCCCGCAGCGGCAGCTTGGTCACTTCGGGTAGGATAGACCGGGAGGAGCTCTGCGCTCAGAGCCCGCGGTGTCTGATAAATATTAACATCCTGGTCGAGGATAAAGGAAAACTATTTGGGATAGAAGTAGAAATAATTGATATTAACGATAATAACCCAAAATTCCAGGTCGAAGATCTGGAAGTAAAAATTAATGAAATCGCGGTTCCTGGGACACGTTATCCACTCCCAGAAGCTGTTGACCCAGATGTGGGCGTGAACTCCCTCCAGAGCTACCAGCTCAGCCCCAATCACCACTTCTCCCTGGACGTGCAGACTGGAGATGATGGAGCCATAAACCCAGAGCTGGTGCTGGAGCGCACCCTGGACAGGGAGGAAGAGGCTGCTCACCACCTGGTCCTCACGGCCTCGGATGGCGGCGAGCCTCGTCGCTCCAGCACAGTACGCATCCATATGACAGTGTTGGATACAAATGATAATGCCCCGGTTTTTGCTCAACCGATTTACCGAGTGAAAGTGCTTGAGAACGTGCCCCCAGGGACCCGGCTGCTTACTGTAACAGCCAGCGACCCAGATGAGGGAACCAACGGAAAAGTGGCATACAAATTCCGGAAAATTAATGAAAAGCAATCTCTGCTATTCCAGCTTAATGAAAATACTGGGGAAATATCAATAGCAAAAAGCCTAGATTATGAAGAATGTTCGTTTTATGAAATGGAAATACAAGCCGAAGATGTGGGGGCACTTCTTGGGAGGACCAAATTGCTCATTTCTGTGGAAGATGTAAATGACAATAGACCAGAAGTGATCATTACGTCTTTGTTTAGCCCAGTGTTAGAAAATTCTCTTCCTGGGACAGTAGTTGCCTTCTTGAGTGTGCATGATCGAGACTCTGGAAAGAATGGTCACATTGTCTGTTACACACGTGATAATTTACCTTTTAAATTAGAAAAGTCAATAGATAATTATTATAGGTTAGTAACATGGAAATATTTGGACAGAGAAAATGTCTCTATCTACAATATCACAGTGATGGCTTCAGATCTAGGAACACCGCCTCTGTCCACTGAAACTCACATCACCCTGCACGTGGCAGACATTAACGACAACCCTCCTACTTTCCCTCATGCCTCCTACTCAGCCTATATCCTAGAGAACAACCTGAGAGGAGCCTCCATCTTCTCCTTGACTGCACACGATCCCGACAGCCAGGAGAATGCCCAAGTCACTTACTCTGTAATGGAGAACACGCTGCAGGGGGCACCTCTGTCCTCCTACATCTCCATCAACTCTGACACCGGTGTCCTGTATGCACTGCAATCTTTCGACTATGAGCAGATCAGAGACCTTCAGCTACTGGTGACAGCCAGCGACAGCGGGGACCCGCCCCTCAGCAGCAACGTGTCACTGAGCCTGTTCGTGCTGGACCAGAACGACAATACGCCCGAGATCCTGTACCCCGCCCTCCCCACAGACGATTCCACCGGGGTGGAGCTGGCGCCCCGCTCCGCAGAGCCCGGCTACCTGGTGACCAAGGTGGTGGCGGTGGATAGAGACTCGGGCCAGAACGCCTGGCTGTCCTACCGCCTGCTCAAGGCCAGCGAGCCTGGACTCTTCACGGTGGGGCTGCACACGGGCGAGGTGCGCACGGCGCGGGCCCTACTGGATAGAGACGCGCTCAAACAGAGCCTCGTGGTGGCCGTCCAGGACCATGGCCAGCCCCCTCTCTCGGCCACTGTCACGCTCACCGTGGCTGTGGCCGACAGCATCCCCGAAGTCCTGGCCGAGCTGGGCAATCTGAAGCCATCGGTGGACCCGGACGATTCGGGCCTCACACTCTATCTCGTGGTGGCGGTGGCTGCAGTCTCCTGTGTCTTCCTCGCCTTTGTTGTTGTGCTTCTGGGGCTCAGGCTGAGGCGCTGGCACAAGTCACGCCTGCTCCAGGATTCCGGTGGCAGATTGGCGGGTGTGCCTGCCTCACATTTAGTGGGTGTTGAGGAGGTACAGGCTTTTCTGCAGACCTATTCCCACGAAGTCTCCCTCACCACAGACTCGCGGAAGAGTCACCTGATCTTTCCCCAGCCCAACTATGCAGACACTCTCATCAGTCAGGAGAGCTGTGAGAAAAATGATTCTTTATTAACATCCATAGATTTTCATGAATGTAAGAATGAAGCTGATCATGGTCAGGTGAGTTTAGTTTTTTTGCTTGCTTTTAATTTCCAGATGAATTTTATTTGGCATAAATTATGTGTTTTGAAAAACATTGTAAAGATATAATTTTTAAGACGTATCACAGAGTTTTGGTATTTTGGTGGGGTTACTATAACACTGAACTCTAATAGTCATAGGTTGTTGTTTCATTTGCTTTTGAACAGCTTGGAAAAGATTGTTCAACAATTTTAAGGCTTCCAGTATTTTATTTCTATGACCACTCATTCACTTAAGAAGTACCTACCCATCCATACTGGTAATTTTGCTATTGTTCGTGTGCGCATGTGTGTGTGCGTGTATGTATCTTAAATTAGAACTTCAAAAAATTATCAAGAAATCTAAAGCCTTTTATTAGCTTAGTAAAAGTAAAATGTATCTCAGAATTTTTAGTTATGTTTAGCATTTGAACCTGTAACCATGCTCTTGTAGATTTCTCCATTTTTAACCTCTTTTCTGAGCCCTGTTTCTGTAAGAGTGCCCTTCAAAACTTTTCTTCTTACCATCTTTCAAAACATGAACAAACTTTAAAGATGGATCTTGATGGGAGATAAGTATGTCACGCATACTTAACATTTAGTAGCCATGCCCATGGAGAGTCGGCTCCATGCCCATGGAGACATGACATCTAAAAGCGTAGAATGTCCATTGTTCCACCAAACACAAAAGAAAAGCAAAACATTAGATCTGAATTAAAATGTGGTTTTCAACTGTTGAAAGTGACTTTCATAAAAGACGCAAGAATATATTTCAATAGAATTCCAATGAGCTGGTTTGGTTGTGCATCGATGTAAAATGGTGAGAATGTTGATTTTAAGAACCAACGTTTCAGGTACACACATTCTAAATAAGCTGATCGATTTCATTAAAGTTATTCAGTCTTGACTGGACATCGGGGCTTATGTCTGAAATTCCAGCACTTTGGAAGGCTGAGGCAGGAGGCCCGCTTGAGCCCAGGAGTTTGAAACTGCAGTGAGCTATGATCATGTCACTACACTCCAGCCTAGGTGACAAAACCAGACCCTGCCCTTAAAAAACTAACATTAATAGTAATAACTCAGAGCCAGATGCAGTGTCTCACACCTGTAATCCCATCACTTTGGGAGGCCGAGGCAGGTGGATCACGCGGTCAGGAGATCCAGACCATCCTAGCCAACATGGTGAAACCCCGTCTCTACTAAAAATACAAAACTTAGCTGTACCTGGTGGCACATGCCTGTAATCCCAGCTACTTGGGAGGCTGAGGCAGGAGAATCACTTGAACCAGGGAGTTGGAGGTTGCAGTGAGCCAAGAACACACCACTGCATTCCAGCCTGGTGACAGAGTGAGACTCTGTCTCAAAAAAAAAAAAAAAAAAAAAAAAGGAGGGGGGGAGGGAATAACTTGGTCTATGCTGCTCATTCCTGTATTCCTGCATTCCTTCTTGTAGCATTTGAATAAAGCTAATCCCTGAATTATTATAAGGTAGAAGATGACCCAATATATTTTTGTTATTAATGAAATGGATATTTCCTAAGTATTGTGTAGTGTTCTACTGTTTGGTATATATTCAGTGGAATGGGAGTTAACCTCATAGTTTGTGTACCATTTGGATACACATTTGAGAGGACAATATATCATTGGCACTATGCAATTTTAAAAACTGTGATGAAAGTTGCCCTGGTAGGAAAGAAAATTTTTACTCTCCCTAAAAACGTTGGCTAGTTGTTTTTATTCATCTGACAAATGGACTAAATAAGGTTGACCAATGTCACCATATTCTACAAATTTATGTAAATAAACTTATGAACTTAATTTATTCAATTCCAAAGTTATTTCTTCAGTAAAATGACGGTATATAGATAGGGTAATAATGCAGTCCACTAGAATATCCCTTTGTACCTTGTATTGCAGAATAGATAAGCATTTCCCCAATAACTCTTAAGAATGAATTCATGGACCGGGCATGGTGGCTCACACCTGTAATCCAAGCATTTTGGAGGCCAAGGGGGGAAGATCACCTAAGGTCAGGAGTTCAAGACCAGCCTGACCAACAAGGTGAAACCCCGTCTTTAAAAAAAAAAAAAGAAGAAGAAGAAGAATGAATGAATTTATGTACTATAAAAGATATGACATAAGACAAGTATTTTGGGATATGAAGAAGGGCAACATAGCAGTGTATATCATTTCTTGGCTACATCATATGGGCAATATACTTGAAGGAATATTTTCTGAAGAAGAGTAAAGATACATTATTTTTAAAAAGATATTAATATTGTCAGGAAGAGGAGGTGTTTGGAGATTAGTACAAATTTGCCACGACTTTACAAAATAATTTTAAATAGTATAGATTTCCCTAATACGTGTAATGTAAAATAGTAGAAATATTGAGTGGTGGAAATTATAGAAATGAACAGAAGAATGATAAAATTGTTTCCACATATCATAGCTAATAAAGAAAAATGATTTTTTGAAATCAGCATAGTATAAACTCTCTGAGTGCAAGACATGTATCTTATTCATTATTTTATTGCCAGTGACAAGGGCAATACTTAGCTCTAGCTAGTTCAAGGTATGTTTGCAGAATGGTGAAAGACTGTATGCAGGTTTGTGTAAAAACTCTATGCGATAATTCTATCAATTTGGAAACAGTAGAAAGCTACATTAAAGAGGGGGTTATAATTTGTTATTAAATACATGAAGGTAAAAGCTTTGCTTGTTAAGTTACGCACGCAATACAATTACTGCACTGGTTAAACTGAAGCAGCAGAGGCTGTAGTTTCCTAGTGCTGACTCTGGGCGCCGCTGTTGGCCAAAGTGGAGAGCCTGGCGCGCCAGATCTCCTCGCGCAGCCGCAGCGCACTTTCCAGGGCAGCCCCAGCTCAGACTCACCAGCACCAGCCTTTACACCGCTTCCTCCTCGGAAAAAGAAGAATCTCTTCCTGAACTGGAACTGGAACTGGAACTAAAGAAAGGCCTTTCGGACATCCGAAAATCTGCAATACAGAGGTTATTTGTAACCCGGCGACTCCAGGCTGGTGAGCAAGCTGAGGAGAGTAAGAGGGATGGGGAGCTGCGCCGGGGAGCGGGGCCGGGCTGAGAGGCGACCTGGGCTCTTTCTCTTCCTGCTGCCTTTGTTCTGCCCGGCGCTCGGTGAGCAGATTCGCTACAGGATTCCTGAGGAAATGCCCAAGGGCTCGGTAGTGGGGAACCTGGCCAAGGACCTGGGGTTCAGCGTCCAGGAGTTACCGACTCGAAAACTGCGCGTCAGTTCGGAGAAGCCTTACTTCACGGTGAGCGCAGAGAGCGGGGACTTGCTTGTGAGCAGCAGGCTAGACAGGGAGGAGATCTGCGGGAAGAATCCAACTTGTGCTCTGGAATTTGAGGCTGTTGCTGAAAATCCACTGAACTTTTATCACGTGAATGTGGAGATCGAGGACATTAATGACCACACACCAAAATTCACGCAAAATTCCTTTGAGCTGCAAATAAGCGAGTCTGCACAGCCTGGCACACGGTTTATATTAGAAATAGCAGAAGATGCAGATATTGGCTTAAACTCTCTACAGAAGTATAAACTCTCTCTTAACCCAAGTTTCTCATTAACAATTAAGCAGAAACAAGATGGTAGTAAATATCCGGAACTGGCATTGGAGAAAACCTTAGACCGGGAACAACAGAGTTACCATCGTTTAGTCCTGACTGCCCTGGACGGTGGAGATCCACCCCTAAGCGGCACCACTGAGCTCCGGATCCAGGTAACTGACGCCAATGATAATCCCCCTGTATTCAATCAGGACGTGTACAGAGTCAGCCTTCCGGAAAACGTGCCACTAGGCACCACTGTGCTGCGAGTGTCAGCCACCGACCAAGACGAGGGCGTCAACTCAGAAATTACTTATTCCTTCTACAGAACCGGGCAAATATTTGGTCTGAATTCAAAGAGCGGGGAAATTACAACTCAAAAGAAACTGGATTTTGAAGAAATCAAGGAATATTCAATGGTGGTAGAAGCAAGAGATGGTGGAGGACTGGTCGCACAATGTACAGTTGAAGTTGACATTCAAGATGAAAATGACAATAGCCCAGAAGTTACATTCCATTCTCTACTTGAAATGATTCTGGAAAATGCGGTGCCCGGAACACTAATTGCTTTGATCAAAATACATGACCAAGATTCTGAGGAAAATGGGGAGGTTAATTGTCGATTAGAGGGTGAAATCCCTTTTAAGATTATCTCTTCGTCCAAAAATTCATATAAGTTGGTAACAGATGGAACCCTGGACCGAGAGCAGACCCCGGAGTACAATGTCACCATCACAGCCACTGACAGGGGCAAACCGCCCCTCTCCTCCAGCATAAGTGTCATCCTACGTATCAGCGACGTCAATGATAACGCTCCGGTTTTCCACCAGGCTTCCTATTGGGTCAGCGTAGCGGAGAACAATCCTCCTGGAGTCTCCATCGCGCAAGTCAGTGCCTCTGACCCGGACTTGGGGTTGAATGGCCAAGTGTTCTACTCCATCGTGGCCAGCGACCTAGAGCCTCTGGCCCTGGCGTCTTATGTGTCCGTGAGCGCGCAGAGCGGGGTGGTGTTCGCTCAACGTACCTTTGACTACGAGCTGCTGCGCGCTTTCGAGCTCACGCTGCAGGCCCGCGACCACGGCTCGCCTGCACTCAGCGCTAACGTGAGCCTGCGCGTGTTGGTGAGCGACCGCAACGACAACGCCCCGCGGGTGCTGTACCCCGCGCTGGGGCCCGACGGCTCTGCGCTCTTCGATATGGTGCCGCGAGCTGCAGAGCCCGGCTACCTGGTGACCAAGGTGGTGGCGGTGGACGCAGACTCAGGACACAATGCCTGGCTGTCCTACCATGTGCTGCAGGCCAGCGAGCCCGGGCTCTTCAGCCTGGGGCTGCGCACTGGCGAGGTACGCACGGCGCGCGCTTTGGGCGACAGGGACGCAGCCCGCCAGCGCCTGCTGGTCGCTGTGCGTGACGGTGGACAGCCGCCACTCTCTGCCACCGCCACACTGCACCTG